GTGACTACTTGCTATTACAGTAAATTATTTCCTTGCTGGACTTTATCTGTGGTTTTGAAAAAGGTATAAGCATACAGGAGGGAGCCCTAGCAGTTACCGTAAAGCTATGGCTGCCTTATAACAACCGTTTCCAAAGTTCATGCTGCAGCTGATGGGCTTCAGTAACCTAAAATAACTTGGCCATACAAATATTTATATTTATTGATAACTTATTTTTAAAAACATGCTAAGCTATTGTAATATAAATGAATTCCTAAATTGAACATTTCTGCCAGCCATCAGTATTTTCCACAGATACAGAAAACCTTTTTAAAAATAAATATTTTATAAGAAATAATTTTTCTTACTTTATTTTTAGTGAAACAATCATATACTTGTTTAAGACTCATTGTTTTGGCAAATACACTAAGTGTAACATTTCTCTTGTGCAGGAAAAAAGAAATTCCACCCAAATTGTAACAGATTGATTATATGGAACTAGTGAGTTATAAATGTCAAATATCACACCTAATGGCATAAGGAAAGTTTTTTTTTTGTCAAAAATAACTCTCCCTATAATTTCTAATATGTAAAATAGAGTCTTGGAAATCCTTCCATATATCCATTTGAAAGTAAGAGTATTCCACTTACAATATTTATGCATGCCTTTCTTGTAGGTGTTTACTCATGCGGGGTGGGGGGCACTGCACATCATCTCATGATCTATGTTTCCTTGAAAGAGTGGAATGGCTGATTACATGATGTAAATATATTACTTTTTAAAAAACTTTTATTTTAGGTTCGGGGTACACGTGCAGATTTGTTATAAAGATAAATCGTCATGGGGGTTTGTTGTACAGATTATTTCGGCACCCAGGTACTAAGTCTAGTACCGAATAGTTATTTTTTTCTGCTTAAATATATTATTTTTAAGATGCTTTATTTTGACAAGGACACAGAAGTTTTCTGGTAATCAAATCCTAAACTCTAACATAGAAAGTGCTCTGCAAAGAATAGACGCCTAGGAGGTTGCTCAGGAATCTGAGATGAGTTGGGATAAAGAAATAGTATTTCATAAAACTAAGTTTTTAAAAAATTGAGTCTCTTTTGAAAATTATAATCATTCATTATTTTGGCTATTGGAGTATAGGCAAGAAAGTATAATTAGTTCTGGTATGGAAGAGTGTGGAGCTATGAGACAGAAAACGAGGCTTCTAGTCTCACTCTGTCACTATGTGGCTGGCTAGGAGCCTACAGCAAGTCAATGAGGCTCAATTTCCTTGTATTTGACATTGAACAAACAGTTTTTATACTTTATGTAACCTACATGTTGGTTCGAAAGATTCTTTATAAGAAGGTAATTCGAAATCTATTAATCATTATGCAAATATGTTATGATTTTATAGCTGCACAAATAAACAATTTCTGAGAAATAAAGACTTCTAATGAAAAAATACACTTTACTGCATGCATAAATAGGTACCTTAAAGTCGATTCCTCCTACAAAGATGCGATTAGGGATCACTGTTCCATATCTTGGGGCACTTGTTGGGTTATTCAAAGGCACAGGCGACACAGGATTAGGGGATGGAGATAATGAATCTGTTTGCATCTGGTTTGACGTTTGCTGTAAAATAAAATTCTTTTACACTTTTTGCACTGGGTATAATGCAGTCTGCTTTTGATGCAGACTGAAAATGTATATCTTTAAAAAAGATGAGTCATTTAGGTAAAATATAGTATTCTAGGCTTTACTTTTAATATTATAAAAAATTATAATTAGAGCTAAGAGCTTTTTAGAGCAACAGAACTAGGAAACACAGAATCTACTCCATTATAGAGATTTTAAATATTAAGTACATTACTTAAAATGCTTATGTTATTATCAAACCGATTACTTAATTGTTAAGGGGAATATTAAACTCATGAAGATGTTTGAGAAAGAGAAAAACAGTCCCAGCCTGACACAATCAGCTAGGCCCTGGTGTTGTTAGAAGTTGGCCTGGCACTCACGGCTAGGCTGTGGTGTTCTCTCATTAACAGAATACCAACATCAGACAAAGTCACCCTGTGACTCTGATGGATTAAGATTAAAAACAAGACCACTCCACAATCATGTTTGAAGGCTGACTAAAAAAAACGCATTGCCCAAATCCAATAATAATCAAACATCCCTCCATTCTGGCTGATATGAGTGACTGCCCCTTCTTTATCAGTTATAGTTTTGGCCTCGATCCATTTTTCTTTCCTTTTAGATAAAAGTTAACACATCCAATCATAGAATTACTACCATTTCCTGACGATATACATTCCAGAGTAAAGCCCTACTTCCTTAAACCCTCTCTAAAAATTGCTCAACACAAGCCTATATCCTATGAGTTCTAACACCTTCTGATTGAGAGGCCCTATGGTTTCTGTTTTCCTTTGTTTGAACGATTAACAGACCCAACTTCACTAAATGACGCTTGTGTTCCTGGTGGTCTTTAACTAACGGTCATTCATAAGTTAATAAACTGTAACATTCACATTCACCATTTTCAGCCTGAAGGTCATAATTTTAAATGCACTTGTCATTTTGAAGATTGGACTGATTTTGTTAAAAATTATATACTTACAGCTCATAAATGTTTATTCCAAAGAATTAGCTCAGTACATATCCATATGTTCACAATGATAAGTTAGAGGATCTAATTTAAATTTTAATAAACATATATAAATGTATAAGCCTTTGCAGAATGGTAAAATAATAGACTTTTAAGGTATAACTGAAAGAAAACCAGGACTTGAGAATCATGTAGAAGAGAAACCAATTCAAGAACTGGTGAATTATTTTCCATCTGGAAACACTAAACACACTTCTGAGACAGTCTAATATCCTAAATGTGTGCTTCAAAAAACTTGAAGTAAACTGGGTGTTGTGGCTTGTGCCTGTAATCCCAGTTGCTTGGGAGGCTGAGGCAGGAGGATTGCTTGAGGTCAGGAGTTCAACCCCAGCCTGGGCAACAAAGCGAGACCCCCGTCTCAAAAAGAAAGAAAAAGAAAATAACAAATCTTGAAGTTCATAATTCCAGTTCTCTGAGAAACAAACACATGAAAATGAATTTCCAGCTCAGGTAATAGAGCTGTTCTTTTTCAAATTTGTGTTCTTTCTTCTCTGGTCAATACAATCACAATCCCTCAATTAATCTTTGCAAGAGGTACAGAGAAATGACTAGGGCAGGAGTGGCAATTGGGCTATAGGCTGGACCTTATGGGCTCTCTTCTCCATCCAGCCTTAAGGAAGTACATACTCCTAATAAGGGAATACGTAAATACTTCTTTTAAAACACGGAAAAGCCACCACATTTAATAATTACTATGTTGTAGTTTCCAATGAAAGAAACTGGGAATCTAATCTTAACACCTTTCTCTTTGGGCACTTGGAGGTTATTTGTGACATCAGTCACTTTGCTCAGTAGGATATAATGCTCAGAATGGCTAATTCTGGAATGCTTAGTATTTTTTAACTGTGGATTTTGTATTGCTAGAAATAATATAACAGCTCTAGTAGATGTAATCTTGTCTTTCTGCCCATTTGTTTACAGTGTCAAAGTTACCTATTTGCTAAATTAAAAAAATCATTCTTCATGAAATTCTCTTATTGAAAATAAGATGTACTAATTTGTTTGCAAGTTTAAGAAAAAGACAAACCCCATTATATTTCATCGAGGGAAGGATGAAATGAACGGAAGTAAACAGTGCTTTATTTCCAATCTCGAGAAACTAAAGGATACTCCCTGAGAAAAGAAAAACCTTTCACACTCAATTCACTTCACTCTCCTCCATTCTCTAAGGCTCCTGCTCTAATGTGGGCTCGCTTTGCTTAATTATTCTCCCTCATCATTTTCTAACATACGATATAATTTACTTATTATGTCTATTATCCGTCTCCACTATTATGTAATGCACTAGGGCAGGAGTTTTGCTTTTTTCACGGCAGCATCTAAAGTACTGACAGTACACAGCAGGTGCTCAATGAATATCTGTTGAATGACTAAAAGTGAATCATTTCTTCAGGAGAGATCTGCTCACGATATGCCAAATAGGCTGAAGGCAAAAGAATACAGTATAACAGCAGTCTACTATATATATACACATGTGTATATGTGTATATATATATATTTGAGACAGAGTCTCGCTGTCACCAGGCTGGAGTGCAGTGGCGTGATTTCGGCTCACTGCAACCTCTGCCTCCCCGGTTCAAGAGATTCTCCTGCCTCAGCCTCCCGAGGAGCTGAGACTACAGGCGTGCACTAATTTTTTTGTATTTTTAGTAGACACAGGGTTTCACCATGTTGGACAGGATGGTCTCGATCTCCTGACCTCGTGATCCGCTCACCTCAGCCTCCCAACGTGTTGGGATTACAGGCGTGAGCCACCGCACCAGGCCTACAAAATATTTTAATGTTAGCAATAGCAAGGCTCAGGTAGAGGCAACATCTAAGTTCATTATTAACAATTAGTGATGCATTGAGTTAAAAAACAAAGAAAGCCTCAAATTCTAACTAGCAATAAATTCCGCACGTGTTACGGAAGCACCTAGAAGGGGACTGTTGTTGGGTCTGAAGTCTCCTCCGCTTGCTAAAACTTCCAGCACTAGAGAGTTTATTAAACTTCTCCTCCAAAGCAATGTGCCCTCACTGGCTCCTCCCCTTAAGTCAACCTCGAGATCTAGCATCTATTTTGCAAAGGAAGACAGCAGGAACGGGCGGGCTAACCGTCGCAGTCCCTGCCTCGGCGCTCCTCCCCCTCCAAGGCCAGCAAGTTGCGGCACTGGGGGAAATGGCCGCGGCGACAACTTCCTCGAGTTCTCTCGGGTCATCGTGAACTTGGGCACCAAAACGAGGATCCACCCCCTCCCCACCAAAGTGCGGGAGGGAAAAGAAGGCTAGCCAGCGAGAAATTTTGCCCCGCAAATCCGCCAGCAGCAGTGGCGGGAACCCTCAACGGCACCGACCCCGCCGCTGGCCTCGTGCACAGCTGGTCCCCACCCTCGCGCGGCGCTCCCTGATTGGCTGCTGGCGGCGGGACGGGGCGGGGCGGGACGGCACGTTGCCGCTGCGCCTCGGGCCTGTGTGGGCCGTCCTCCTTCACTTCCCCAAGTCCGCCCTGACCGGCTCGGGTGCACAGCCAGTGCGATAGTGTCCGGATCCCACCTGGGCCACAGGCGGGCCCCCGCGAGGTCTCTCAGACCTTCCGGTCCTCGCTGACCAGTCGGGGAGTGGAGGCGTCGACCGCCCTGACAACTCCTTGCTCTGGGCCGCTGGGTCGAAGTTCGGCCCGAGGGAGCGTCAAAGACGCTGCCTAGCCCAATTTCGGCGGGAAAGCAGTTTATCTGCTCGGACTCCACCCCGGCAGCCCGCCGCCTCCCGAAACATCTGCGCCTGAGGTCCCCTGGCCCGTCTACACCCAGTCCAGGCCCCGTGGCGGCGCCTTCCTGACCCCCATGACACAGCCAGACGAGGTCTGCGGGCGGGCGGCTCCTGGCAGCAGTCGATGGGGCACCTGGCCACGTTTCTTCCTAACCAGATAGCGAGCGTTTGGGGTCTTCACCTTGCCCCTCCAGGCCCTCAGGGACCGGCTCCACGCTGCTCCTTCTCCCCGCTACCCCGCGCCCTGGGGCCCTGATCGCCGTACTCACCTGCCCGGACTCGGTTTCCATCTTCCTCTCTGCTCTTCAGAGACGCGGGTAGGGAAGAGAAGCCTAAAGTTTGAAACCACCTTCACGCCAAGGCAGCAGCGCTGCTTGTCCTGCCTGGGACTCTCGCCCCCTGGCGGCGAGGGCGGCGGTGGCAGCTGCAGGGGAGCAGGCTCGGACCCGGGCCCTGAACCTGCCACCTGGCGGGTGGGGAGAAGCAGACGGCGTCGCCTCGGGTGGCAGGCGGCGGTGCGGGCGGGCGCCGCAAGCCGGAGAGGGGCGCGGGCGGGCGAGTTTCGGCTGTGGCTCTGGGACTCCGAGCCGGGGCGTCTCAGGGGCAGAGCGCACGGCACAGCGGGGCGGGCGTGGGGCGTGCGGAGCGAGGACTCTGTTCTGGGACCCCTCTCGCCTGCTCTCAGACGGCTGGGGAGGAGAGAGCGAGCGGTCGGGCAAAGCTCCATGCACGGCACGCCTTCCCGTCTCCTCCACTTGAGAAGAGTCGGCCTCTGGGACTGGTGGGTTTCGAGAGGTTGAGATGACCTTAAGCCTTTACTGGGCTGGAAGAAGCCGATTGACGGGCGACTTCCGAAGACTGGTGTAATGTGAAGAAGGTTCTAGAGTCAAACTCTGACTCTCGGGGCCTGACGCGCCAAACTCGGGGGCTCCCGAGAAGCCGCGGACTCCTCTCTGCACCTGCTGCCGCCGTCACTCATCCCGCCAGGCGGGCGGGGCCGCGCGGGTGGCTTCGTCAGGACCTGCCGCTCAGCCTAGTCGGGCTCCGGTGCCCGCCCCGGACCGTGCCCGAAGCGGGTCCCGGCCCCGTTGAGCACCTCCAGCAGCGGCACAGCCTCTGGAATGGTCCCAGACGAAGCCACCCGCACGGTAGGGGGCGACTTAGCGGCTCCAGCCTCCAACAGCCTTGTGATCGCCTTTGGAAGAAGATTGCATTAAAAAAAAAATTAATGAATTAGTTAACTCATTATTTTTATTTTTGTTTTTGAGACGGAGTCTCGCACTGTCGCCCAGGCTGGAGTGCGGTGGCGCGATCTCGGCTTACTGCAGCCTCCACCTCCCAGATTCAAGCGGTTCTCCTTGTCTCAGCCTCCCGAGTAGCTGGGATTACAGGTGCCTGCTACCACACCCGGCTAATTTTTGTATTTTTAGTAGAGAAGGGGTTTCACCAGGCTTGAAATCCTGACTTCAAGTGATCTGCCTGTCTTGGCCTCTCAAAGTGTTGGGATTACAGGCGTGAGCCACCCTGCCCGTCCAGTTAACTATTTAGACACGAAGGCTCACTCTGTCGCCCAGGCTGGAGTGCAGTGGCGCGATCTCACGCTCACTGCATTCTCGACCTACTGGGCTCAAGCGATCCTCCCACCTCAGGCTTCTGAGTAGCTGGGACCACAGGCAGGCCCACGCCACCATGCCTAGCTGAAAGAAGACTGCTTTGTAAAGAATACGTATTTCTAGTAGGTAGCTAAAATGATTACAACTGGATAAACTTATAGTAATGATGATGATTATTATAGCTGCCATTTATCAAGTACTTTGTTTCAGGCACAATGCTTTATATCAGTATCATTTAATCTTTTCATTCTCACAGCAACCTTTCAGATAGATGCTCCAATTATCGTCATAGCACGTGATGAAGCAGAGATTTGGAGGATAAGTAATTTGGTCAAGATCTAAAGCTGTAGGAGGTTTAACCCTGGGTCTACCCCCAACCCACAGTTCTTGATCTTAACCCTTTTGCCATATATTTTTAAAGAATGAGCAGTAACAACTGTTAAAAGTTACACCAGTAATAACTACTGTACACACTACTGTAAAAGTTTGACTTTGGGTTACTTTGCCTTCAAGATATAGAATTAAAAAAAGAGTAACTATATTAATTTTTGATTTGTTCAAAGATTAGCTCTTCATATTATTTACCGAAAATAAAATGGGAAACAATTTTTGTTTATCTTACCCGAAGAATCCCTAAAGTCATTATACATTTCTGCACGCAATTTAAGCTCATTTTGTCAGGTTTAAGTCTCTGTGGAAATAGAGAATACAAACCTATTTAGATGAAAACTTATATTCTAAAGCATAATAATTTTACTGTTCAATACCAGTAGAACTAATCTTCTTTGGGCATTTTTTTTTTCCTAGGACTGTTGATGGATTTGGGTAGATGTTACTATCCTGTCTTGCCCAAATCTTTTTTGACTGAAAACACTTATTTTCAAGAATTGCATTCTCTTAAAAAAATGTATTCAGCACAGTAGGTGTTTAATCTGAAAAAAATTTACATAATTTAGGGAACACTAACTGTATTTCAAGGCTGGTGTTGGGTCCTAGAGGTACTTTATTTTCAGTATGGCAATTCTCTGTTCTGCCTCTTACTATTAATTCTTACACCAAAAGGAATGTCCAACTTTAAAACTTGGATAAACCCCTTAAAATTATGCAATGCACCCCAATTTAGTAGACACTTATAGAGTTCCTATTCTATGCAGTATGTAATGGAATATAATATAGGATATATGAAGATGAAGAACGGGGTGTCCAATCTTTTGGCTTCCCTGGGCCACACTGGAAGAAGAAAAATTGTCTTGGGCCACACATAAAATATACAAACACTAATGATAGCTTATGAGCTAAAAAAGTAAATCACAAAGAAACTCATAATGTTTTAAGAAAGTTTACGAATTTGTGTTGGGCCGCATTCAGATGTGGTCCACGGGCCACTAGTTGGACAAGCTTGATGAACAAGATCACACCTCTGTTCTCAAAGTATTTTAAATCTAGAAGGATAGAAAAAACTAATTACTCAAAACAGTGTAACATAAATATGCTTGTAGGAACATAAAATACAGGCATAACAGGATAAGTGATATATGAACAATGATCAACCGTCTGTGGCAGCGCAGAGGATAGCATCACAGAGCACAGCATCCAGGGCTGCGTAAGGATGTCCTTAAGGCTGGAATGCCGGTCTGGGCAGAAAACCTGAGGGAAAGATGCTGAGCCTGTATCATGTACGCAATGCTGGGCTAGCCACATTCTTTTTAAGTCTTAGCTCTCTCTTTTTCTTAGTCTCTCTTTTTCTTTCTTCGTCTCTCTTTTTCTTTCTCTCATTGGAAACCTGAGTCTTAGAGAGGTAAAAGTGACTCTGGTGGTCACATTGCTAGTAAGTGGTGGATGCCATTTTCAAAACTTAGTTCCTTTTTAAAAAAAATTATACTTTAAGTTCTAGGGTACATATGCACACCGTGCAGGTTTGTTACATATGTATACATGTAACATGTTGGTTTGCTGCACCCATTAACTCATCATTTTCATTAGGTATTTCTCCTAATGCTATCCCTCCCCCTGTCTCCCACCCCATGACAGGCCGTGTGTGATATTCCCCACCCTGTGTCCAAGTGTTCTCATTGTTCAGTTCCCACTTGTGAGTGTGAACATGTGGTGTTTGGTTTTCTGTCCTTGTGATAGTTTGCTCAGAATGATGGTTTCCAGCTTCATCCATGTCCCTGCAAAGGACATGAACTCATCCTCTTTTATGGCTACATAGTATTCCATGGTGTATATGTGTCACATTTTCTTAATCCAGGCTATCACTGATGGACATTTGGGTTGGTTCCCAGTCTTTGCTATTGTGAATAGTGCAATAAACATACGTGTGCATGTGTCTTTATAGTAGCATGATTTATGTTCGGGCACAGTGCACTTTGTCATGTTACTTATACATGGCAATAAAGAGAATTTTATTCTGGAGACCTTTGTAAATAGGGGCCATTGAAGATGATTGAACCAAGAAGTTGTATATTCAGAGCCAAATTTTAGGAAGATATTTTCATATCAAAGAAGAGTTTTTGAGGGGCACAGACTGGAAACAGAGAATTGAATTTGGAGGAGAAAACATTTCGAGTGAAAATAATGAGGACTCGAACAAAGGTGACAGGAGTGAGAATCAAATACTGGGAAAAGGTTAAAGAGATACCAGTGAGGAATTGAGACTATTGGGCATGGGTGATGATGGAGAGGGATTGGTGAGGCTCATTCAGATATCTGGTTTCACATATGGGAGATACTGTTTACCAAGATAAACATAAAAGTATAGCACATTACAAATTGCAAACCTAAACATTCCATTTTCTTAAGTTTTCTTCCAGCTTCCCAATGTTTCTCATCTTTTTTCTTCGCACGATCTGTTCAGAACATAGTCTTTGTTTCAGGGATTTACCCAAACCTACCCTTCTTGCTTGCCTTCCCTAGTTGGCAGTTCTTCTCTTCTTGCCTCTTGAGTTTTCTAACTTCAGATTCTAGCTCCTAATATCTACTTCTGGCTCTTGTTTT